TTACAAAGTAGGCTTACAGTGGCTGCCTGCAGAGTCAAAAGGTGGAAGAATGCAAAAGGGCTGTCTGTGCGCTGGAGATCCAAAGATCTGGTGAAAAGTTGAAGGCTGGAACTCAATGCAGAGTCCTATGCAAGTCTGTACCAGGAAGCCAAAGAGTCTGTGCTGAAAGCCTGGAGACAGACACCCAAAGATGATGTCAAGGACTCGAGCTCTTCCAAAGAAGCAAAAGCAAGACTTCCTTCTTCTTTCCCTTTTTAATTCCATCCCAGCTAAAGCCTATTGGTTGGTTCCACCCACCCCCAAGGTGGATCTTCCTTCTTCAGTATGTCCATCATCCACACATATCCAGAACTGTGCTAAGTCAATCTGTTGGGTGTTTATTTGACACCAGAGTTAACTATCGCAAGTGGTATCAGGCAAACATTTATTGAGAAAGAAATCAGCTTCAGACAAATAAAATACAATAAATTTAAGATTACCACAAAGTACTTCACTCTGAAGATACAAAAATGTCTTATTTTTCCTCTCAACACAGACATGCAATATAGCCAAGAAATCAACCAGCCTCTTTTCTAATGATATGCTGCCCACCTCTCTAAATGAGCACTTGGCCATGTCAGTATCCTCTAGCTGTGAGAGACCAGCTCCTTTTCATCCTTTCCAGAACACCTCCAGTAGCTTGGACACCTGAAATAGGAACTCATGTTTTTATCACATCAAGATATCTCTCAGACGTAGGTCACCACTTCAAAATAAGTGTTCTTAACTTACAGGCCTTCTACCTGGACTAAGCTAGCTTGACTTAGGCCTGAGAATACTCATCTTATGGTGTAGGGAACTGTTGGTCTCTCAGTGTGATGGCGGCAGTGGGAATGAGGAAAAGACAGACAAAAAGACAAGGCTGGGTCAGGTGGTGGCCTGTCTGCCTGGTTGGTGAACCAACCCCCAACACAACAGTAGGGTCATTTATTTATCCCTTTGCAAAGTTAGTATCAGGTGACACAAGGTTGCCTAGTGACTAATAACTGACATTGACCAGGCAGGATGCTTTTCTCACCACTGAGGTAGCTTGACTGCCTTAGGCCCTGAGGCCTAGTCCTGCTTTCACACTTTTGAACAATTTCCAGCTTCAGCAGCTCCCAACATCATGGAACTTGTTTCTGTGTTGTATGCAAAGCTGTTGTATAATCATTCTCCTCAGGGCTTACCCTGCATGGTCCTTGAGAATCAATGTGTAGTTAGCCAGTAATTCCTATGGTATCAATATTCCCACCTCAGTCTTTTTCAAACTACCAACAGACTAGCAACCCAGTCATGACATTTCTAAAATATAATGATCAGCCATGTAAGCTGGCTCCAGTGTACCACAGTCTATGCAGGCTCTTGCTGAGACACAGCTCACACGGCTTCTTGCTTTATACTGAAAACTACAACCCGCCCTCCCTTCACTTGACAGCTTTCGTCTTATACATAGACACACACTAAAAGGTAACCAGAATGTGTAAAGAATTTTATTAACTATGATGAAGTAAAAATCCCAAGAGTTACAATGTTTGTACACATGGCAGAACAGCACAAACCCTCCTCCAACCCACCCACCAAAAAAAGGCAATGAAACATAGCAGTTAACAGTCCAAGGGCCGGGGAGATGGCTCAGTGGAATAAGTGCTTCCCTGGCAAGCGCAAGGGCCTGAGTTCAATCCCCGGTTCTGCAAAAAAAAAAAAAGAAAAAAGAAAAGAAAAGAAACAGTCCAACATGAGTATCAAAGGAATGGGGCGCCTTTCTCTGGAAATACACTTTGAACTGTGCAGTTAAGTAACAGTCTTGGCTCATTTAGAATCATACTTAAGTGGTACATTCAGAGTGGGGATTTGGCCTCCAGAATTCTTTTATAAAATAAGCATATGCAGCCTTCCTTCTTGAAGCACCAGCATCTATCTTGGAAAAATGCATTTGGCAGGTGGCCTGAAGCAACAGGTCAAAGGGGAAATACAAATCTCTTTAGAAGTTTGTATTTCCTAACAGAATTAGGAGTCAGTGCATAAAACTACAAGGTTAACATGGCCACAGGAAAAGACTTGAGCATCATAGAAAATTTAGAAGGCTGTTAACACCTTCGGCTCTCTACATGGTGTGCCAAGAGAACAGGAGCTGAGAAAAGACGAATGAGAACACCTCAGAAAGTATGAAAATGGTGGGCCAGCCAAATAGCTCAGCTGATTAAAGCACTTGCTTAGGCAGATGAAGGGGCCAGGAGTTCAATCCCTAGGGCCGGCCATGCCGGCCCTGCCCCAGGGGTGCACTGAGATGGCAAATGAGACTGGGCGTGGTGGTGCATGTCTGTAATTCCAGCACTTGGGAGGTTGTAAACAAGAGGATCACTATGAGTCTGATCTATGCAGTGAGGCCCTGTACACTGTATACCCTATCCCAAATACAAAAAAAAAGTATGAAAATGTTGGATTAAACAAATAAAAGCTACTTCACCTTTGTTCCAGCATTGAAGAAGGCTGGGACCCACACGCTACATTGTGTTCTTTGGAGAAAAAAAGCTGTACCCTAAACTTCAATCTAAGGATGGAAAACAAAATTGGGAGACGGGATACAGACCCATGGAGCAGACTAAAGAACCAACTGACTTCCTTACCAGGAAGGACCTATTGTTCTGTTATTTAAAAAAGAAGGAATTGGTTCATATCATGACTAAGGCTAGGAAATAATGTGTCTGCGTATGCACAGAGCACCGTTTATCTAAAGTGACAAACATCCAAAGTGGATAATCCTCAAAATATGCATGCAGGAAATTACAGGACCTAGCCAAAACTTGTTCCTCATTTAATGGGATGTTGCTTTAAATAGGCTCTGAATACAGCTCTCACCCCTTCTCTCAGAAATGAGACCCACATGCCTGATATGGAGGGGCATGCCTATAATCCCAGCACACGGGAGGTTGAGGCAAGAGGATCATCACAAGTTCCAGGCCAGCCTGGACTACACAGTGAGCTCAAAGTCAACCTGAACTACATAGCAAGTCCCTGTATCAAAAAACAAAACAAAAATAAAGAAAAAATAAATGAAACTCACAAAAAGTCTCCCTCACAATTGCATTTCTATCTTCAAATCTCCAAGAACCCAAATTACTTATTTTAATTGTCCAAACTTTTATTTTCCCTATTGAGTTCACAGATATGGCCTCATTCAATCAGCTGTGGACAACCACACAGTTAACAAGTGGCCCACAGAATTGTGAAGTTTAACCTCTAGAAACGTAAACTGCCAGTCCTGCCTGCTGGCCTTTTCTATGGCCTCATAGAACCATGATGTATAACTGTCTATCCAGATTCCCAAATCTCTGGAAAAAAGGTCAGGCCAAATCTGTGAGACAAAATGAATGGTCATGGCAGAAAATACCAATGTGATTTTATAACATATATGATATAAAATGCTACAATATAAAATCTTTGCGCCCCCTCAGGGAAAAACTATGGAAAAGGCTATTCTGTTGAAGCTAGAAAAATGGGAAAAGGGATCATTTTTTTGCCTCTCATAATGAAGAAAAGAGCCTTATTACTCCACTAAGAGGACTTCCTCACGTATGTATACAATCAACCCTTCCTGACATAACAGATGTCTTTTTTTTTAACCAATTAAAAATTTTATTTAAAGATCAGATGTATGTCCTAATGGCACATAGAGAATCCTGTTTAAATTAAAATTTGATGTAGGAGGATGGGGGAATGTGTTATAAGACACTGAGAGAAGGCAGACATACAGGTTACATACCACCTCAGTTCTTCATCTCCAATATTATGCAAAATCAGCTTATAAATACCATAGTTCATTCATTTATGGTACCTTTTAGAAATAAAAAAAGGGGTTTTTTAAAAGTAAAATATAGAAAATTTGATTGCAAAGAACTACCAAATTATTCAATAAATCCTCAATAAAAAACCTTTTGAAAAATTCTTCTCTCTGAAAAATGAAGAAAGAAAAAAAAAAGGAAGAAAGATAATCCCCAGCACTCAGGAGGCTGTTGCAGGAGGACAGCAGCACGTTCAAGGCCAGTGTGGGCTACAGAGTGAGTTCAAAGCCAGCCCAGGCTGCACAGCAACACCCTGGCTTGAATAAACAAACAAATCAAGAAGGAAGCCACAAATTAGTCAGCTACAGGAACATAAAATAGCGACAACTGTTTGACCCAAATTGTATCTAGCACAAGACAAGGAAAACATTTCTGTGTCACCATTTCTTTCCCTTTTCTTTTCCCCCCAGTACCAGGGATCAAATTCAGAACCTTGCACTTGCCAAGCAGGTGCTTACGCTGCTGAGCTATCTCCCCAGCCCCTTCTTTCCTTAATTGTAAAATAACAATATTTATTGCTTTAAAAAACCCAATTGAAGCCAGGTGTAGTGATGCAAACCTGTAACCCCAGTAATCAGGAGGCTGCAGCAAGAGGATTGCTGAGTTCAAGGTCAGCTGAGGCTATATAGTAAGGTCCTAATTCATAAACAAAAATAAGTACCAATCAAAGCAAAGCAACAAAGCCTGATCTTATCAACTCTAAGGAAATTAGGGTTGTCACCTCCAAGTCACCCAAATACAACTAGTGATGAGATCATTAAGCCAAGTATTTATGTTGACTGTAGACTAACTCACAGCTAAAACTGCATGGAGCAAAAAGCAAAGGACCTCAGTCCCAAGCAAGCACTTGTCTGGTAGCACATCACCAAGAGGTGTCAGCCTGCACTTCCTTCCAAATACGACTTTGGCACCAGCAGCATGGCAAACATTTAGGATTCTCCTTCAAATAACTGGATGAAAACACATAATATGTTCAAAAGTGAAGGTTAACCAAAGCAGTGTTCTGTTCAGGAGAAGAATGTCTTCACTCAAGTAGAGCATAACTTATTAAAAGGGAGAGTCATGGCTCTCTTTGGAGAGTTTCTAAACAGTTTATAAATATAAAAAGAATAGTTCTTCAATAAATAAATGGCTCCTAAGTCTTCCCAGAGGACATCCAGAATCTGCCATCCCCGTTGCCAAGCCAGCTCCATCCTCCAAGAGGCTTTAGCTGCCAGTGGAAGGTGACACTTTCTGTCATTAGGCAGCTCTTCTCAAACCATCCAGACTTCCATCAGTATGTCTCTTCATAATCTGAATCCTGGAGGTGAAAGAACAGTAGGAGGAATAGTGCGTATGTGGTGCAATGTCACACCTGAGTTCAGGCAGACACACATTTGCATACTCTGCACGGAACTTGGTTTGGGGTGATAACAGTGAAATGCCACTGACTCAACAGACTTAAATCCCACGAAGCATCACAGGACCTCAGTGCCATGTGTCTACTGGGCTAATTTCTGTTGTGTAGCCCAAATCATTCCCTTTTCCTTGGTGAATTTTTTAAAAACCTCACACAAGAAAATGTACCTGCCTACCGTAGAATGTTTAGGACAGCTCAGGAGTTTAGGATAGAAGTCTTAGTCTTTTCCTCATAGCTGGGACAAAACAGCTGACACCCACAACTCAAAGGAGACTCACACTCCAGTCCAGGGTCAACAGCTCCCAAGAAGAAACAGTATAGCAGAGGGCAAGATGGGAGGAAATCTGTTCCCATTATGGGAGCCAGGAAGTAGAGATTAAAGGGAAGAGCCAGGCCACACCCCACATCACCCACCTCTTCACACAGGCCCCAGCTCCTAACATCACAGGTAGCTACAGCGCCCCGTGATTCAGCACCTTTCACATTTTTGTCCACATCTGCCTATAGTAAGGAACACACCTGAGGCTTCAGGGGACATCCTGATAAAAGCAGTGCAGAAAGGGCCAGGGAGATGGCTCAGTGGAATAAGTGCTTCCCTGGCAAGCAAAAGGGCCTAAATTCAATCCCCGGTTCAGAAAAAAAAAAAAGCAGTGCAGAGCCAGCCTCCCACCCATGCTGCCTCTTTTCACTGTGCCCAGGAGCCCTTGCACCAACACAGGCCCTCCTGAGAGCCCCTGCACCTACAGCTTCCTCCTCCCGCAATGCTCCCCTCCGTAGCTGCACAGTTTGCCATCTGCTTCTTGCAAGAGTTGGCTCAAATGCCGTATTAATTACTGAGCGTGCCCCTGACCGTGCTATTTAGCATCACACCCCTAGCGGTGTTGGGGACCAGGCTATGTGACAGGTTAGTGGGGGCCACACTACAGACCCTGCAGTCAGCAGGACGCCAGGCAGATGTGGATCTGCCTCAGGCACAGGGAAGGGCTTTTGGAAGGCTGCAGGCTTCCCCGTTGGGCCGGAATCCAGTAACCCCAGCCTCCTGAAGCAAGATAACATCTGCTGAGACCAAGACAAAATAAACAATGCCCAGGTATGGGGAAGGATCTTAACTTGTTTCCTTTGTGATGCCAAACCTGTTCCTCATTCTACTACCGGTTTTTACTGTGCCGTCTCAGTTCCAGGAAATGTAAGTGCCCCTCCCCCTGCACCTCTCCCCGGTTAATAAAAGTGGGCCAGCTGAAGAAGTATTTGAGGCCACTCTGAAGGCGACCTCCTGGTCCCCCTGAAACTGCAAATATCTGTCTTCATCCCTTGCCACACTCCCCCAAATAGGCAACAAAGGGTCTCATCAGCCTTTGGTAGAGCCAGGCATCCTAGCTTTCTTTCCTGATCAATTTTGCTCCTTGGCATTAAACATGACTTATGCTGTGTTTTTTTTTGTTTTTGTTTTTGTTTTTGTTTTGGCAGAACCGGGGATTGAACTCAGGCCCTTGCGCTTGCCAGGGAAGCGCTTATTCCACTGAGCCATGTCCCCAGCCAGTTTTATATATTTTTAAAAATTTAGTCAGTGTTTGTACTCCAGCCCAAAACACAGTGGCACATCCACTGGGTCTTAGAAGAGGAGAGAGGTTTTCTTGGGTAAAGAACATTTTTGTCCACATCTGTTTTCTGAGTAGCTCAGATGGCACACATTGTACACATCAGGTGCTCAGTAGACAATGACAAAGAGGGTGAATATGGGAAACACAGCCAATAATCACCTGAACGATAATAATTTTGCATTACCAGAATATTCAAAACCCAGACGGCTGACTTCAGGTCTGCCCTCTCCCCTGACTCTAGCAGCCCTTTTCTCCTCTCACAACACTCAAGGGCAGGAGAGAAAGAGAAACAAAGGCACTGCAGTGAGTAGTCAGGTGTGCTTGTGTGGCCAAGGGCTGAGCTCAGCAGTGAGAACAAAGAGGGCTCCACTTAAGTCGGCAATGGCAGGAATGAGTCACATTAGATCACAGGCTGCTTCTGACTTGTTTCTAATTGCACCACATCAGAGTCCTGCCTGCTCCTGAGATCCCACCATAGCCACACAAGCCTGTTAGTCACAGCAAGCACCGAAGGTGGAGGGTGACAGTCTTTTGAAATTCAAATGGAAATTCAGGCCTTCCTACAATGTGGTGTTTCCTAATGATAAATGGCATCAAGTCACCTAAAAGGCTATAATTTTAGCCCCCTGGAAGATAACAAGGCTCAGCAGAAAAGTTAAATCCAAGGTTCTGGGTCCACCTTCCAAGTCTCCTAGTTTGAATTCAATGGCAAAAGACCTTGATCCTTCAAGGCCTCTGTCAGTCAGCAAAGACTGCTCTCCACACCCACTTCCCTGGCCTACGAATACCACTTTGTGTCCGTGAGACAGAGAACAAACCTGGGCTTGAAACTGCTAGGGTTCCAGAGACCAAAACGCTTCTGAGAAGCAGCCTGGTCCACCCCTTCTTTAGTGCTACCTGCACAGGTCTGCTGCTTGGAGGGCTGAAGGTCCCCTTGAACAGACAGGAGGGTAAGGAAGCAACAGTACACACAGAACTGGCAGGCACTCACCAGACACTCGGCACAGCGGACGCAGAACCCTGCCATGCACTCGCCTTTCTCCTCCTGGTCAGTGCTGCGGAAAGAACATAAACCGAATCTGAGGCATCACTCTACTAGTATAGGCAGGGGCCGAGACCCTCCAGCACCTGGGCCCCAGCGGGCTGTCTGTCAGCTCCAACGGCTCTAGAAGGAGCTGTTCCAAACTCAGCTCTTGAAATCACACTAGTCCAGTTATAGAGCCCCATTCTGCCATGTATCTCCTCAGTCACTGGACAAATTTAACCCCAGGAACCTGTACCCTCATCTATAAAATGCAGACATGATCAATGTGCCCTTAAAGCACATGTTAGGAGTACAAATACATGTGGAACACACACCACAAGGGGGAGCACATAGTAAGGGCTCAATAAATAGCTGCTGGCCATGACCACTCACTCACTCAGAGAAAGACTGAGTATCCATACTGTAAAGGCATCATGGTAGAGTCTGGGGAGGGAGGGAGGGAGGGAGGGAGAGAGAGAGAAAGAGAGAGAACACAGACAATTCCTGGGGAGAGCTCGCGATCTCATGGGGTGAGAAGGCTGTTATAAACTTAACACATATGTTATAATACAATGTGGTCGATGTTTCAATAGAGTCAAGATGAAACTGCTGTGCAGCAGAAGGGAAGTGACTGATTCTCCCTTCAGGACTTGGGACGGAAGGAGAAGGGAATATTCAGATGGAGTTGGAGGATAAGAGCTTCCAGATAAGCAGGAGAAGGAAGAGGGGAAAACAACAGCATGTGAAAAATATCTATCTTATCTATCTCAACTACCTGAGTGAGTGTAAAGTGGCTAGTGGGGGAAAATAAGTTCCTTGTCACTGGAAATGAGGGCAAATGAGGAGAAAATGCAGAGAATAATTAACTTAGGGTCAGGATAGAAAGGGTTTTGCATATTATGCTTAGAAACAGACACTGGTATCTTTGCAAGGAGTTCCTCACCTTTTTAGGACCATGAATACCTCATAAGAGGCACTCCCTCCAATAAATAATGCACATACACAGACGAGATGAAATGGCCCCTTTCAAGGTATGACTCTCCTTCACAGGTTAAGAATCCCTGACACAAACAATAAAGAACTTACAAATTTTTAACATAGATTTTTTTTTTTTTTTACTTTTTCCTTAGCTAGATTTCATTTTAGGGAAAAAACGGATTTGTGTTTAATAAATGCTTTGTTTGTTTTCGCTGTTTGCGACAGGATTAAGGCTGCCCTTGAACTCACCATGTAGCCCAGGCTGGCCTCTAAACCACTAGGATACTCCACCGCAAAGCAGCCTCTGCCTCTTGAGTGCTGGGATTACAGGTGTACCACGCTCAGCTAAGAAGTCCTTTTGAGAACCACAATCCACTTAGCCCCTTCAGAGCGTCTGCTGACCAAGAAGGGCAAAAAAAGGAGAAGGCAAGCCGGGTAGTGCGATACACCTCTTATGACAGCTACTCAGCAGGCTGAGGCAGAAGGATCTAGCCTAGACAACTTAGCAACCCTGCCTCAAAATAGCAAATAAAGGGCTGAAGAAGAGGCTCAGCAGTAGTGCCCTAGCCCAGCACATGGATACAATCCCCAGCACTGCCAGGAAGAAAGGAGAATGGGAAGGAGAAACTTTCAACCTTCCTCCTAGTATTCCTCAGAGAACTACTCTCCATCTAAAAGGCAGTTTCACCCACAGCACTAAACTCAGCCTCAAGAGAAAATGGTGTGTGGCTACATCTGGGTGCCACCACAAAGCAGCTGAGGAGCACACGGGCCAACTGCCTGGGCTGCAGGGAGACATACTCATCCGAAACTTCGATAGACGACTTCTTATAGCCAGACTTGCTCCTCTTCTTCAGCCCTGCAGCCTTCCGCCCCATTCTCAGCAGCAGCAGAGCCACCACCACTGCAGAGGGGATGAAGACGAGGACAGAAAGCAGGCCCACGGAGGACAGCATGGTGCCGAAACCTGCAGGGGGAAAACAGAAGTGGCGTACAGGCACGCCTTTTGGCATGAGATAGGTTCTACTTTCGCTCAGGTACTTCTGATTATGAAAGGAACATTCATTACAAAAAAGACAGAAAATACACAAAATTAGAATGAAGAATTAGAAAATTAGAATGAAGAATTAGAAACGTACCCATAACTCTTTGTTGCCTAGTGTGGTGGATACACCTATAATCCAGGCACTTGGGAAGCTGAGACAGGAGGATCACCGCAAATTTGAGACCAGCCTAGGCTATATAAGTGAGTTCAAAGCCAGCCTGAACTGCATAGTAAAAGAAAAAGAAATGTACCCATAACTCTTCTACCTAGGAAAAACATGTTGGCACCCACCACTTCAGTCTTTTGTCAAGTTGTAAGACACATGTATGAAGGTCCATACGAGAGTGGGGTGCATATCCTTAGAAATATAAATCATATTTTACATAGTATCTTAACATATTTTACTTAATATATTATAAATATGTTTAGACTTTGTTTTGGTTTTGCTTGGGGTTTTTGTTTTTGGCACCAGGGATTGAACTCAGGACCCTGTGCTTGCCAGGCAGGCACTTAAAACACTGGGCTATCTCCCCAGCCCCAGACTCCATTTTGGTTTAGTTGCTTTGTCTTTGTGGGACTGAGACTTAAACCTAGGACCTTCACATTGAGCTACATACCCAGTCCTGTTCTTATTTTTTTGGTTTTGTTTGTTTGTTTGTTTTTGCAGAACTGGGAATTGAACTCAGGCCCTTCCTTGTGCTTGCCAGGGAAGCACTTATTCTACCAACTCATCTCCCTAGCCCTTATTTTTTTGGTTTTAAGGCAGGGTCTAAGTTGCCGTGGTAAAACTCAAACTTTTTTTTAAGACAAAGTTTTGCTATGTCAGTTAAGCTGGCCTGGCCTTGAACTCACAGTGATCCGATCTGCCTCAGTCCCCAGGTCTGGGACTATAGCTGTATGCCACCACCCCTGACTGTAAGATTCAAACATTTTCTGGGCCTGCTGGTGCACACCTATAATCCTGGCACTCAGGAAGCTGAGGCAGGAGGACTCCTGTGAGTTCAAGGCCAGCCTGGTCTATATAGTGAGACCCTATCTCAAAAAAATAAAAAATCAAACTTTTGATACCCTTAATGTAGCCTCCTAAAGCACTGGGATTACAGGCACTTGCCACAACATCCGGTGACACATATTTTCATGTAATTAAAAATTCCTTCTGGGGGGCCAGGGAGATAGCTCAGTGGCTTCAGGGCCTGCCTAGCAAGCGCAAGGTCATTCGTTTTCTTTGAATCTGCATAACACATTAGGATGACCAAGCTTATACATAAATCTTCATGTTTAGCTCCACTAACTTAAGATAAAATTTTAGAATGACAGGACCAAAGGACATATGTCTAAGGAATCTGATCTCTGTTGCCGAACTTCCTTCCAGAAAACCATCACCAGAATCTATCCTTTCTAGCAGTGTGAATGTGCCTGTGCTTTGAAACCTAGGAGTTCCTGTCCAAAAAGATTAAGACAAGGATAATAAAGAAAAAAGAAGAGAAGAAAGACGAGAGAGAAGGAATAAAGGAAGGAGGAGAGATGGAAGGAAGAGAAAGCGAAGTTCGAAAGGGGGAAAGGAAGACCTGAGAAATAATAAAGCAACTATAATGAATCATAATTTATCTCTACGTCTCTGGCTCAAATCCAAATAAGAATTAGAGAGACCATTGAATCATCATGGGGGAAAAAACGTAGAAACAAGGGCAGCCTTAACTTCCTCTCCATTTATTTCATGCTGACAGGAAGCTGCTATCGTTTGCAGCATAAAAGAAACACACACCTCCCGTCATTAGAGGGAGCACCATCTCAAGATGTAGGCGAACGTGCTGTCTCGTTACCGGGAGTGTGAATCTATCAGGGAAACCAGAAGGACTTCTGGTTCACAGAGGCAACAGCTATCCATTTACTCCATACATTACATAAGATCTTTGGTCACCTGAAGTTAAAATAAAAAGGAGATAATGGGGAAACTGACACTATTTGAAGAAAAAACATCAATTTTCAAAATAAAGATCAAAAATTCAACTTAACAGACATACCACAATTGGGGGGGGGGGAACAGCCACATTGACACAATAATCCAATGACCCAACCAGCTTACCCAAATATGGCCTCGCTTATTAGATTACTCAGAAAGCAGCACAGCAGAGACAGAGCTCCGCAGAAGAAGGCTGGTGGCCGTCAACTTACCTCTTTCTGTGACTGTCAGCTCTGTCAGGGGAATATTATGGTGCACATCTGGGGGGTTCTTCACGGCACAGCTGAATGTCCCATTGTCCTTGAGAGTTGGGTTGCTTATGCTTATGGACGCATCCCCTTTGTACACATTTCCAGCCCAAGAAATCCGATCCCGAAATGTGCCTGCTGTGGTTGGGTACTGGAAAGACTGATAATGAAAAATCTAAGAAACAACACCATGAAAAAAATAATTAATTTGGAAAATAAACTGAAAATGCAGAGCATGCAGGTTTAAAGTAAAATACAACCATATAATGGTTTTTTTCAGGTGGCAATTTTTTTTTTTTTTTATGAGCAGGATATATTTATTGAGAAAAAGAAAGCTCCTGTCCAAGAGAGGGACAGGAGCGGGGCCCGAGCGGGTAGTTCCCCCTCAGTTGGCAATTTTTTAAATGCTTTTTTCCCCTCCATCATATAACAGAAGTTAATAAAATGGATTAGTAAAAGGACTGATGAGAGACTTCCCAGCCCCTAACCCTTGAATCTCTACTAAATTCTCCATAATGTCTACAGCAATAGCCTTTAGTCAAGGGCAAGGTCATTCTCCATAAAACACTTGGTAATATCGTCAGATCTTTTTAAAAATATGTTTATTTTTCCACTCCACGCGCTCCTGCCCGACCAGGACTAGAACTGCCGACCTTGCAAGGAGCAGCCAAGGCCCTAACCGCTGGCGCCACAGAGGCCCACTTAAAAGTATACTTATTTTTAATTGACAAATAGAAATTATATATTTTATAGGGCAAAATGTGACTTTTATTTTTATCACTGGGAATCGAACCCAGGCCTTCATACATACTAAGCTCTGCCTGTGCTACACCCTGAACTGCTTTCAAATTTCTGAGGATGCTTCATGCTATTTTCAAAAATGGTTGTACTAATTTACATTCCCACCAACAGTGTAAGCAGGTTCCCTTTTCCCCAATCTTTGCCAAAACTTGTTATAATTTATCTTTCTTTTTAGGGGAGGTTTATCTTTTTTGGTTTGGGGGCCAAGCATTGACCCCAGGGCCTCCAACTTGCAAAGCAAGCATTCTACCACTGAGCCAAATCGCCAGCCCCTAATTCATCTCTTTCAGCCATTCTAAAGGGTGTAAAGTAGCTTCTCATTGTGGTTTTAATTTGTATTTCCTTGATAATTAGAGATGTTCAGCATTTTTCATACATCTGTCGGTGTCTCTTCTTTTGAGAAATACCTGTTCAGGTCCTTTGCTTATTTTTATATTAATGTATTTATTCGTTTGTCTGTGTCAGTGCTGGGTATTGAACCAAGGGCTTTGAACATGCTAGGCAAGAACTATACCACTAAGCTACGCACAAGTCCCTGGTTACTTGTTTTCCTGCTGTTGAGTTGAAGACAATTTCAATTGTCACAACAGGGAGAGGGAGGAGATACTGGCATCTAGTGGGTGGAGGCCAGGGATCCTGTAATGCACAGGAAAGCCCCCACATCAAAGAACTGTCCTTCTTACAGTGTCAACAAGTGAGATACATCACTCTAAAATAATATCTAATAATCGTATAGTACTGCATAGCTTGCAAATGACTTCCACACATTTACTCAATAGAGAATCCAAACAACACTAGGCTATATGAGGCTCAAGGTATAACCATCCCAAATCTACAAAAAGGGAAATATGACCAAAACCAAAAGACTATAGGAGTTTCTCAAAGACAAACTTAGAACATGACAAATGGGAGATTTTTTTTCTTATTCTCAAAATCACTGGGAGGCTATAATACAAACCAGCATCTCTCCAGTTATCTACTTTGGCAGATAATATAACCCCCAGTCAAATGTTATGATAAGCACTCAATAAGTACATGATGAATTTTTACAAATACTTTGTTGGACATGGTGACCAGACACTTCATTATCAAAAATACCTAATGACACCTGGAGGTGAGCCAGGCAAGCACTACAAAACAACTTAAGTTTTTTTCTCTTATGCAAGATACAAGGCTCTCCTCTTTCTTTATTTGCTTGATACCTTCCCACTTAGGAAATCATGCATTTGTAACCACCGAATTGCCCAATTTTTTAGAGTAACTTCCCAAAGAAGATGCTGAATCATTTATTAGTTCCTTGTTCATGCATGTAGTCAACAAACATTTAGTATACACCAACTATGTTCTAAGCAATATGTTGATAAAAACATAGAGGGAACCACACTGGCATAGTCCCTAATCTCACAAAACTTATGTTTTGTGGTAAATACAGATATTAACAAATAATATGCACAACGAATGCTCCAAAGTGGGAGGTAAAGAAGGCCTGCCACTGATTATCAGCATCAGCGTAAAAGGTTTTGCCAGGTGTGGTGGAACCTAAGTTCCATGTTAAACCAGTGATAATGAAACCCTTGCCAGCTGATTATCCTGATAGAAACCTGAGCTGCCATGTAACTGCATTGTTACCTTGTGACCTTAAGCGTCCACTAATTCCAACCTGGGTGAGTTTGCTGATGTTCTGACCACTTCACAGCAAAGAGTCCCGTAAGAGAACTGCTATTTGTGTCTCATGTTTCTAACCCAAGAAGCTCCCACATTGCTCACTCTGCCCTACTTTTGGCCAAGGAGAGCCAAATAAGACCAGCCATAGTTTCCTGACTACTCAGAACAAAATGAACTATATGTAGATCTAAAAATAAAAGAATACGACCACAGCAAACCTTCACTAGCCACATACCTAGCTTCATGCTATGTAGTTTTCAGTAATGGCTCCTAAAATAGATTTCAAAGCTTACATGTTGACAGGAAAGGAAAATTTTTCCAATGAAGGAAAACTAAATAAACTAAGAACACTTTCAAAAATCCAATCAGGGGCTGGTGAGATGGCTCAGTGGTCTAAAAAGCACCTACTTAGAACAAGATTAGCAAAGCAAAGGGACCGCGGTTCAATCCCCCAGCACCACATACCAGCCAGCCCCACCCCCTGGTGGGCTGAGCTGGCCACACACAAACACACACACACACACACACAAATTAATTAATTAATTAATTATTTTTAAAAATCCAATCAGACACATAGCTATGACATTCACATTCTTGAATAGCATGCATTCTGATCTAAGGGTACTGATGGAATCATAAAGTTTTTTTTTTATAGCACTGTAATCTTCTGCTAGACATCAACAATAGTGTTTGAATCATAAATGTGTTTTGTATGCACGATTAAAGTATACTGTTTGTAATATTACAAGACTGTCACTGACATCTGTCAGCAATACAAAGTGCCACCATTTCCTTCAAAGGCAGCTATATAAATCACTGCCAGTGTTTATGTGCTAGGAGGAGAAGCCAAGATAAATCTACAGACCACAGATATGCAAACAGATACACACCCACTGAGACTACTCAACAGGAAATGAGCAACTCTAAGAAAAAGTATGTCTGTGACTGGGACTTACAGAATTTTTCTAGCCAACAGTTCTGCAGGTACCTATTTATGTATTTACCTATTTATTGATCGTCTTTTTGAGATAGTCTCCCTATACAGTCAGACTGGCTTTTTCTTTGTTGTTCTTTTTTTTTTTTTTTTTTTTTTTTTTTTTTTTTTTTTTCTTTTTTTTTGTGGCCACCCTGGAGGCATGGCTGGTGTGACTTGGTGCAAGGGATCAAACCACCACAGTCCCTGTGCTTGCCTAAGCTTGCCTAAGCAGGCATTTTAGACCACTGGCCCCAGGCTGGCTTTGAGCTCACTTTGTAACTTAGGCTGCTCTCAAACTCAAAACAATCCTCCTGCCTCAGACTCCTGAGTATTGGATTTATAGGTGTGCACCACCATGCCTGGCCCAGGTACCCTTTTTAATACATTAAATCTGAAGATGAAGTTATAATATTATGCAAAAAGCAAACAACAAAGAGGAAACAAAATTAAACCACATTTTCTTTTTTTCTTAATTTTTTTTTCCTACAGGTTTTGTGCAAAATTCTTATGAGAAAGCATAAAACAACCTACCTAGGGGTCCAGGGATTTAGCTCAGTGACACAGCGCCTGACTAGCAAGCCTGAGGTACTGAGTTCAATTCCTGGTAACACCCCCAAAACAAGTCCTACATGATCAAGTGAATGTCATAGAAGTTCACTTCTTTCCATTTTCTGTTCTGAGAGGGCCTTGTGTGTGCCTGCAACTTGTAACAAAAGGATTCAAACACTGTTAAACCAAAAGACTCAAGTAAACTTTTGTTATTTTGGTACCACAAATCAAACTCAAGATCTTGCACTTGGCAGGCAGGTGCTGTACCCCTGAGCTACATCACTGGACCTCAAGGAAACTCCTTGAAGAACATACTCACAGATTCTGTGCGACTGCTGCTGGGAGGGCGGTATGTCCAATCAATGGTCAGTTTGTCAGTGACGTCAGAAGTTGACTTGAAGGTGCATCTCAACTTGATCTTTTCTCCAACATAACCTCGGACATGAGCATCTGCGTTAATCTCCAAGGAAATGACGATATGAACACCTAATCAAAGCATGACCAAACACTGAAAATGTACTTGCTTTTGTGGAATACACAGATATAAGTAAACAATACAGGCATGCCATTTATCATTTTTAGGCATCTCATCAAAAAGCCAAAGCAATCATTATCTTCCCGGGCAAGGGACAAGGAGCCAGTGTCTGCATTAATCTAGGAGAGCATTTTCATCATTTTGCAATCTTAAATCATAGATGGAATAGCTGGGTAAAAATGTAAACCTGGTCACAGCAGCATTTTTCCAAACACAGGCTTGTAGCCTAATTCAATAGAAAAAAGTAGGGCTACACATAGTAAATGGAAAGGCAGCATCACTCCCCCTCTCGTAATCTCCCTGCACGCCCACACACACTCCAGGAATACAGCAGCTTTCACGGGGCTGGAGGGACTCACCCCAAGCACAACATGACTGCAGCACGAAGCTACCACTGTCTCAAGCATCAGCGCAATAAGAACAGATTGTTTACGTTTTCCATTGCCATTCATATATTGTAGGTGCATGAATTCAGCAAAGTAATCCAATATAGTCCAGTGGTCTACAATAGTAGTAGGTTATCCACATGACTGGCAGTGTCAGAAGTTGTTGACTTGAGCCTTTTACAGCTCAGCCTATTAATATGGATTTACCTTTTATACCTCGTTTCTATACTTTTCTGCTGGATGGTTAAGACCAAGATAAAGCAAGACCCATACAACAAAAAAATGTAACTTTTGTATCTGACAAGGTCAGTCAAATCCCCTCAGGATTTACCCTGAAACCCTGTACCGCAGTTTATAGATCCTTTGTCAGTGTCAGCCATGTGGATGAGTCATGGCCATTGCTTGACCAATTTGCTCTCTATGAAAGCCTGAGAGAATGTTTTCTCTCCAGGTGACTTTCCTTAGGCACACTCTGCATCATCAATCACTTTCCTCTGTAGTCCCATAATATCCTTGATTAGAAAATTTGGGACACCACCGAGTTACAGGATATTATAGTACAGGTTCTCTTATGTCCTGAGTCCTCACTGATCTTTAAGGGCTAGGGCCAAAATGTTGGCTATTCTTGTAGCCCTTCTTTTTCTCTAATGTTTTGGACCGCAAACTTAAGTTGTTAATGCTCTAGAAGAGAAGCTTAATGATATTTTTACCCTAAAACATAGACTGTTGAGTTTAACATCAGTATCTGTCTAAATATCAAACACCTTAGATATAACACAAAACAGGTATTTTCCATTAATTGTTGAAAATTTTTAACAATTAAAGAGTTTGTTTTTGTTTTTTATTTACTGCCCCAATGTTCTATTTCATTTCCCCATTTCTTTCTGAGGTAATCAACCACATTAAAAGTAAATCATGAGCTGGGTGTGGTGGCACATGCTGCCTATAATGGCAGCACACTGAAAGGTTGAGGTAAGAGGACTTCAAATTCAAGCCCACTTAACAAGTTCGTGTTTCAATTTAAAAAAAAAAAAAAAAAAGCTGAAGATGTAGCTCAGTGTGAAGGCCCTGGGTTCACTCTCCAGTATCACAAATAAATAAATAAATAGTAAGTTAAAAGAAGAAAAACAAAATATAAAAATAAGTAACATTTTTAAGTGTCTAGTGGCCTCCTCTTTCTAAAGCCATCCATACCCATTAGCTCCTGGCAGCAGACTGGTGCAGTGATTACATACACAGATTCCTAAACCACTGGACCTGGGTTAAAATCCCAACTCTGTCATTCGCTGGCTCTGCAGCCTCAGCAAATTACTGTACATCTTCACTTTCAGGAACCTGTGGGGATGATTTCAGTGCTTAACTCAGCAGTTCACTGTTAAGCTTTTTACCAAGATGGTGCCAAAAGCGAAGAAGGAAGCCCCTGCCCCTCCAAAAGCTGAAGCCAAAACAAAAGCTTTGAAGGCCAAGAAGGCATCCACAGCCACAAAAAGAAAAAGATATGAACATCACCCACCTTCCACAGTCTCAAGATTACTGCAGCTCTGGAGGCAGCCCAAATACCCTAGGAAGAGCGCCCCCAGGAGAAACAAGCTTGACTACTATGCCATCATCAAGTTCCCCCTGATCACAGAGTCAGCCATGAAAAAGATCAAGGACAACACACTGGTGTTCATTGTGGATGTCAAAGCCAATAAGCACCAGATCAAACAAGTGATGAAGAAGCTCTATGACATCAATGTTGCCAAGGTCAATACCCTTATCAAGCCTGATGGAGAGAAGAAGGCATATGTTTGCATCATCCCAACTATGATGCATTGGATGTTGCCAACAAGATTGGGATCATCTAAACTGAGTCCAGCGGGCTAATTCTAAATACATACTTTTTTCCCAATAAAAAAAAATTTCACTGTGAAGATTAAATGAGTTAAAAGAAAGCATCGGCAACCCTGAGGAGCCCACCTGATCCTGAGCAAGCACCAGTGTGTGCTGACACCATCATCTCCATCACTGTTCACCTCTCCAGATCCTTGTTCTCTTAACCTTTCCTACCAGACAATTCTGAGTCACCGGCTCTTCTGCTTCACCCTTGCCCTCTTTGAATCATTTTTTTGGTCCTCTCTAGACAATCCAGTCTGGTCACATTCCTCTTAAAGGGAAGAGACCAAGACGGAGTGCACTCGTAAGAACCCTTACAATAATCAGCTCATCCCCAAGATGAGGATTACTTCTGCTTCTTCCACAGTATCTTTCCTGTCTTTATCCATGCTAAATTTATCATTTCTTTTAGGCTTTTGCAAATGCTCTTTCCTCTCCCTGTCTTTATCCCTCTATCCACAGTCTTTCTTAAGCCCTCACTCCTAATTCATCAGTGTGAAAAAAATCTTTATTCATGGCTCAAGATCCAGGTCTAAAAACTGGAATATATACCAGTGTTGGCAAATCTTCTAGAGCTTTCAGTAATAACGAACAGCCACTGCAGCCCAACTGCCATACATTCAGCGAGCTATACTGTCTCTTCAACTCCTCCCTTATCCTAAGACAAAAGTATAGTACAGAGACTTAAAAGCTTCTAAAATTTCAATTTAAACTTAGGTTCTAGTTCAGCTCCATTCTGGCCATTAAACCTTGATCATATTACCTCCCCTGTCCAAGCTTCAGTTTTTTCATTTGATAAATGGGAAAATCAAACCTACTTCACTAGATCATCCTGAAAATTCAATACAATTTTAAAAGATAACACACAAGTTGAGTGTGGTGGCACACACCTATAATCTCTGCACTTGGGAGGCTGAAGTGGGAAGGTTTCAAGTTCAAGCCCAGCCTAGGAAAACTTCAATTTAGCAAGATCCCATCTCAAAAACTTTTCTTTTAATTTTTTAAAGCCTGCAGATATTGCTCAGTATGAAGACTGTGTGTTCAATCTTCAGTGCTGGAGAAAAACAGCATATAAAATGTTTAATATTGTACCTAGAATGAAAATGTTTAATAAATATTAACTATTATTATTTTATTAAAACATTATACATATTCAAAACTTTTAATAGTGTCTATGGAGCTATGATTTTAAATCCAGACAGTAACAATCTGGCCTCAAACTTCTGCCACTCTGCCACTTACCCGTCCAATCCCCTTCACTATGCCTGCAGTGTCCTGACAGTTCCCCAGTGCACTACGCACCCCTACCTTTGAATGTGTCTTTTTCTAGAAAGATGTTTCCAACCCTTCTCACCCAGAGCTGTTCTCACCTCACCATATCTCTTAACACACACTTTCAAAATCAGCTCAAACACTGACCTACGTTTTGGCTCCTTTCCAAATTCCCTCGTGAAGTTCATGGAAGTTTTTCTCCCGTGCTCTTATAATACTTCTACATAATGCTACCCCAGCAATATGCCATTGGTTGCTCCTAGTTTATAACAACTATTTTCTCCATTAAATGCAAGCACCTCCAGGCAAAAATTCAGATGCAGAGAAATACTGGAAAGAAAGAGGTGGGCAGGTAACAAATTCTACTATGGGAACACAATGTGCTCATTAATCAACCATCTCTCCCTGTTTCCTTCCTTCCAGTATTTTCAACACCCTTAACTCCTTTTGCATCTATCTTTCCATTGCGCTCATTCAGGAAAAGCTCTGCTCTTGATGACCTCTTCGATATTAGGCTTGTGTGACCTAATAGCATGGAAAAACATCACACAACTGCAGTTACCATGAAAGAAGTTAATGTTTGAAAATGAGTTGGGGGAGGAACTCCCACTTGGGGCCCTCCCCCTTATCCCTCTCTTGGACAGGAGCTTTCTTTCCCTCAATAAATATATTCTGCTTATTAAAAAAAAAAAAAAAAAAAAAGCAAAAGAAAAAAGAGTGGTGTCTGCACTGACTCCCAAGTCTCTGACTTGGTGATCACTGAGAGAAAGAAGTCTAGAAATGAACCAGGCTTTGCAAGAGAACATAGGTTTGATTCTGGATAACTTTAAATGTCATTGAGATCAAGATGCCCAAGAGTAGACAGATAGTGAGGTTAAGCTTAACAGCCTAGGTTGTATGGTAATAACAGTAAACTTCTCTTCTGGAGGGTTAACAACCTAAGTTTGCAGACCAAAATTAGAGAAAAAGGAGGGCCGCAAGGAAAGCCAACATTGTGGCCCTAGCCTTCCAAGGTCAATTAAGACTCAGGACATATGAGAACTTGTACTGCAACGTCATGTAACTCAGTAGTGTCCCAAATTTTCTGATCAAGGAGATTATGGGGCCAAAGAGGAAAGTGATCGATGATGTAGAGTGTGCCTGAGAAGAGTCACATGGAGAGAAAACAGTCTCTCGGGCTTTCACAGAGAGCACATTGGCCAAGCAATGGCCGTGACTCATCCACATGGCAGACACTGACAAAGCATGTACAATCTGAGGTACAGGATCTCAGGATAAATCCTGAGGGGATTTCACTGACCTTATCAGACCCAAAAGCTACAACTCTTGTTGCATAGGTCTTGCTTTACCTTGGTCTTAACCATCCAGCAGAAAAGTATAAAAGCGAAGTATAAGAAGTAAAGCCATGCTGGTATGTTGAGCTATAGGGGACTCAGGTCAACAATTTCTGACATTGCCAGTCAAGCGGAAGACCCAATACTATTATGGGCTACTGGACTCTTTTAGAATATTTTGCTGAGTTAACACACCTATAATATTCAAATAATGGAACTAAACAAAAAAGGGGATACAGATGAATGTCCATTTTGTATCTGTATATTCAAAATGGTTAGAATAGATATATAGTTAGATTCTCTTAATGAATAGAGGGATTTGTTCTAATGGTGTTTGTAAATAGGGTATCATGTCCACATTTTGTACAGCAATTAACTACTAGAAAGAATGTATGCAATGTGTTAATTATTGAAACTGTCCTACCAATTTGGTTTGAAACTGTCTCATTGCTATTTGTTTCTCAATAAAATTATGGGGAAAAAAAAAAGATGCCCAAGAGACAATAGTAAAGGAATTGTTGCTTCAGGGTAGGAGGTCAGCAAACTCTGGCGCATGGACCAAATGGAAGCAAACTGATCTCACAGGAGTGGGCAAACTAAGAACAAGTAATACCTGACCATGCAAGCAGCCTGGGGGGTGACCTACACTGCCCTACTCCAATCATTACCTCCAGTGGGTTCTTGGTAAATGCTAAAAAGTTCTTACAGCGCCTTTATGTAAACAAAATTTGATTAGAATACTGCCATTCCCTCTCTCACTCTCTCCCCCTCCCTTTCCCCTCTCCCTTTTCTCCTTCCCCTCTCCCTCTCCCCCTCCCTCATCTCCCTCTCCCTCTCCTCCATCTCCCTCTCCTTCTCCCCCATCTCCCTCTCCCCCATCTCTCCCTTCTCTTCCCCCTTTCCTTCTCCCCCTCTCCCTTCCCCACCCCATCTCTTGCCCAGAGATAGAACTCAGGACCTTGCACCTGCCAGGCAGGTGCTTATGCCGCTGAGCTATATCCCCAGCATTTATTTATACATTCTCTATGGCTGCTTTTGCACTTTTTCCAGAACTGAATAGTTGCAACAGAGACCAAGTACCTGCAAAACTAAAACACTGACTCTCCATTCCTTTATAGACAAAGCTTGCCAATGTCTGGCTCAGAGTAAAGAGATATGAGTTAGAATTACAAATCAGAATCCCTCTAATCTTCCTCCAATCAATTCTCCACACTGATTATTACACACAACCTCCCTCTCCCCTCCACATTTCTGGCAGTTCCTATCAAATTTCTTCCTAAATCTTCCCCTTCTTAATCCAGTTTTACAGTCATTCTGGAATTTTCATCTTAGTCTAATGTCCTTATAGATATTTATCTTTTAACCTAAGTCAAAATGTACTCTGAAGGCCAGGGATATAGCTCAGTGGCACGGTGCCTGCATAGCAAGCACAAGGTCCTGAGTTCAATTCCCAGTTCAAAAACAAAAACAAAAAAAGCATTCTGACCAGGTGACATGTTAGCTACAAATATAGCCATAAAACTTAAAAATTAATTTGAGGAAAAGAACTACACTTAACATAATTTTATACATGGAAGAAATTAAATAAACGTGACAAAACAAGGATTCAAATTTTTTTAATGTATTTGGTTGGTGCAAGGTCTCATTACACAGCTCAGACTCGTGGTGAACCTCCAGCTTTCAGCCTCCCCAGCGCTGAAACAGGCATGGGCCACTACCTCCAGACTCTGGCCAGCTTGTATGGCTTGTGGTGTTGAGAATTGAACCAAGGTCCCAGTGCTTGCCTAAGCTTGCCTAAGCAGGTACTTTAGTTCACTGAGCTATCTCGCTGGCCCGAATTTTTTTTTAATAGACAGGATCTCACTATATAATGCAGGCTGGTCTTGAATTCATTTATGTAACCAGACTGATCTCAAACTCATAGTAATCCTTTTGCCTCAGCCTCGCAAGTGCTGGGATTACAGGCATGTGTCACCACACCCAGCTAAACATTCCAATTTTATACACCCCATTTCCCAAATATAAATTGGCCAATCCTTGATTCATATAATTGCACATTTACATGGAAGAAAGAAAAATATAAGACTAGGTTCCCTAGTCTATCATTTCTATATTCTTAAACAACTGTTACAGTAAGACCAGACCTATAATTTAAGGGGAATTCAACCAAGCTAATAATTTAAGGGGTCTTATCTTGAGGAGAGGAGGCAAATAAACACTGGCATGAAACCAGGGCTTATCACCTAACAGATTTAAAAATAAGACCACCAAAAACAGTGAAGTATTGAAAACATGCTAAGTGAAAGAAAAAAAGCACATACTGTATATAATTCCATTTATATGAAATGACTTGAATAGGCAAGTCACTAGAAACAGAAAGTAGATTCTGACCAGGTGACATGGCGGTTGTCAAGGGCTGGGGAAAAGTCAGAATGAGTATAAGGCTTCTTTCTAGGGTGATGAAAATGTTCTAAAATGTATTTATGTAACTCTCTGTGAATCTGAACAACTACTGAATTGAATGGTTTAAAAGGGGTAAATTTTATAGCTTGTGAATTACATGACAAATGTTATTTTTAAAAAACAAAATATAAATCCATTCAACAAGTACACAAATCATAAAATCGTCTCTTCAATGTGAAATGACATTAGGTTTAAGAAAACACTCATCATACTTATAGTCCAGCACTTGGGAGGTTAAGGCAGGAATTGTCATGAGTTTGAGGCCAGCTTGGGCTACATAGTGAGTTCAAGGCCAGCCTGAACTATATAGCAAAGAACCTCTCTCAAGAAAACACACTGATTGTTTCTAGAATTTTTTTCTTCAATGGAACAATATTTGGACATTATCCATGGCAGAAGTAGATAGGCGTTTACACGAAGTGACAGTAGGGTAGCCTAAATACTATATTGCAAAAAGGATTTAGCTGACAACACTGGACACATGATGACACAGGCAGCTGGGAGGTATCAGGGAGTGTGCTGGTAGCATGAGTTATTAGTCACCAGATAAATAAAAACTTCCCAGACCTACCTGATGAGAGTTAGGGCGCCTGAAATCTTTACATTTATAAAATATTAAAGGTCCTTTTTAGAAATCCCCATTACTTACAGGGGAATTTTGTGAAGTTAACAATTCACTTTAATGCTAGCTAGCTAGCTATATTAATATCTAATTTTCAAAAAAGTCATACACATATAAAATACAGTAAATAATTGCACTGTCATATGAAGGTAGTAAGGTTGGATTGAAATGTATTCAATTTGAAAACTGCATGAAAAGCAAACATGGCCAAATTTAACACAGTGTTATCTTGTCAACACTGTATTTCTGATATCCGTTAAAATGTTAGATTTTTCTATGATTTTTTTTTATTTTTAAATGCTTCCAAAATACTAAGGCAATGTTTTCTTCTATTATAATGAAGTCACACCCCTTCTGTGACAAATACACTTTATTTTATAGCCCCTGCTAATTTACAAAAACATGAAATTACCAAGTGTCATGATTTTGTTTCACAAATTGACTGGGACAAACTGCTATCAGAATTGTATTCTTCCAATCAGGGTATAAAGGCCTCCAAACCTCACCAGATAATCACCATTATCTCATACTGGATAGTACCAGATACCCCCAAAGCTTTGTGGTTTCAGAGTCGCGTCATCACCAAAAGACAGTGCCACCTCACACAAGGTTCAGGAAAGTCTTGACAAGACACCAACTCTCCGCCGTGAGTAGGTGTTCCCCAGAATAAAACACCTTCTACCACATCCTCCTCTCCGTCCTTCCCAGAAGCCTACCGGGGGCTTTCCTGCGAACCCCCACCCGGAACCGGAAAAGCGACCGCCTCCCTCACCCCCCAGCCGGAAGTGCAGCCCCGCCGGCTGGCGCGCTCACCCTGGAAAAACAGGACGCCTAGCAGAGGAAAGAGAGAGCAGCCACGGCCGCCAGCCGCTCCACTCTGGTGCATCCTGACGGCTCTTCAGATGCCTGCACACCTTGTTTACAGCTCCCCGCAACGGCGCAGGTAACACCGGAAGTGACGTCGGAGGGGCGGGTGCAAGAGCATTTAAAATGGCGACCCTGTGTTGCCATAGGGATGTGGCTTCTTTCCAGGACCACACCACCAGGTGTCGCTGAACAAGTATTTTCTTTAACGCTCAGGTTAGAGCCGGTTGCTTTCTTGCTTTAAAATTAAGTAGGAAATTTTAGTGTTTTATTTTTGTAGGATTTTGAAGGACTAAAGAATCTTAATTCTCTGTATTCCAGATGTGTATGTCCCCAGAGATTATTTTAGTTCAACTCAAAATAGATTTTCATAAATTTAGAGCCCAAAAGACCTAGAAGAGTATACCGGGCCAATCAGTGAATAGATAAATACATATTAGTTCCTTGTTTTTTTTTTTTTGTTTTTTTAAATTAAGATTTATTTTTATATAATTTTATTGACAAACAAATAGCAATGAGACAGTTTCAAAATTGGTTAGTAGGACAGTTTCTATAATTAAGACATTGCATATTGTTGTCTTAGTGGTTATTCACTGTACAAGATGCAGACATGATCTCCTGTCCACAAACACTATTAGAACAAATCTTTCTATTCATTGAATTAAGAGGATGTAGCTGTTTATCTATCGTAACTATTTTGAATATACAGATACAAAATGGTTGTTCATTTGTAACCAATATGTGCCTGGAGTCTGTTTGGTACCTGTTCTTAATGCAGTTATTGCAAAATCTAGAATTGAGTGTCTATTAAATTACAATTGACAGCAGCAGTGCTCAAATCATTACAGCATATATTAGAAATAAAAGATAAGAAAAAGAAAAAAATAAATGAAGGATCACTGGAGTCTGTATGTGTTTTGGTTGGGAAAGTTATGCTATCAAAGTACTTGGAGTTAAATGAGAGTGGCATATTCTTCTAAGAAGGATGCTACAGGATAGTGCTTTAGCCCTTGGCCTATTCTGGAATTGTCACATAGTTAATAAAAGCAGAAAGGGATAATGATATACTTCAGCTTTGGGGAATTTTTAAATCTTCCAATTTTTCAACCGCCATCCCCAAATTAGACTTGAAAGCTCAATTAAGAAGTTCAAACATACTGAATAAGTGATATATTCTTTCGAGAGCCCCATCTAAACAGTATTGTTATTCCCAGTTTCCTGCTACCTAAAGCAATGTGAAAGTTCTATAAAAATCTATGTTTTGTTTATACAATAAAAACCAAGAAAAAAAATTTTTTGTACTGGGGATTGAACCCAGAGCCTTTACAGTGATCTACATTCTCAGCCCTTTTGTATTTTTAATTTTGAGACAGTGTCTCATTAAGTCATCAAGTTATCCAGGCTAGTTCTATCCATTATTGACTTCCAAGTTGTCCCTACTATGAAACCTTTCCAGTGAAGATAAAATATATTCAAAGGGTAATCAAGAAAATAGTTGAATACTTAAGGAAAATTTATTACAATAAAAATGCATTGCCATTATCCCCTCAAATACTGCCCCCTAGCTTCAAACACACCTGCTCCATCATTCTTGCCACTTTCTGAAGCATTTCTGGAAGTCATCTTTCATGAGTGTCTTTATGAGGTGATCAAAAATATAGGGAATACTGCTGCCACATGCCATCCAGTGCACAGGCAGGCTCGCAAAAACATTACAGTATAGACCAGGGAGACAGCTCAGTAGAATAAGTGCTTGCCTGGCAAGCACAAGGGCCTGAGTTCAATCCCCAGTCCGCAAAAAAAAAAAAAAAAATTACAGTGTGGCCTCATTGTCTTTTTCACTGGGTCTGACATCATACAATATACAACTCTTCCCCAGAATCAAAATAACCACAAAAGGTGAGTGTTTTGAATTAATTCAGGACATTGAGGCAACCAGGATAGTACAACTAAAGATAGTCACAAAAGAGAACTTCTAGAACTGTTTCAGAAAGTAGCAAGGACAGGGCCAGCGAGATGGCTCAGTGGATTAAGCCTATGCTTAGGCAAGCACAGGGACTGGGGTTTGATCCCCAGCCCCACGTCCAACTCCACTGGGGAGGCAAGGGGGTATATTGTGAAAGGGATTAGTAGCAATGTTTTTTGGGGGGGTACTTTTTAATAAGGCTCTACAGGGTATCACTACGTAGATTGGACTTGTACTGATCCACATGTGTTCAGTCTCCCAAAGAGCTGGGATTACAGGCATGTGCCATCACCCCCAGTCTGAATTGCTGTCTCAGCATGCCCCAGGGTTGGGGCTGGCATGGCAAGGTGGGGATCAGCAATGTATTTTTTACTGTAATAATTTTTTAATATAAACACTCATGAAACTTAGTTCTCTTTCTCATCTTGCAAGATGGCGGGTGAAAAATCTGAGAAGCCAGATACTAAGGAGAAGAAACCTGAAGCTAGGAAGGCTTCTGCTAGTAGTACTGGTAAAAAAATTAAGGTGAAGGCAAAAAAGTCCAAGAAAGGGCAGCCCCACTACAGCCAAAATCCTATCCTGGTTAGAGGAATTGGTAGGTACTCCCGATCTGCTATGTATTCCAGAAAGGCTTTGTACAAGAGAAAATACACAACTGCTAAATCAAAGATTGAGAAGAAAAAGGAGAAAGTTCTTGCTACAATCACAAAACCAGTCAGTGGAGACAAGAATGGAGGTACCTGGGTGGTTAAGCTTCAAAAAATGCATAGATACTACCCTACTGAAAATGTACCCTGAATGCTCTTAAGCTACGGCAAGAAACCTTTCAGTCAGCACGTGAGGAAACTTGGAGCTAGCATCACTCCCGGCACCATCTTGATCATCCTCACCGGGTGTCACAGAGGCAAGAGAGTGGTCTTCCTGAAGCAGTTGGCCAGTGGCTTGCTGCTTGTGACTGGGCCTGTCAACCTTAATCGTGTTCCTCTATGAAGAACATGCCAGAAATTTGTCATTGCTCTACAAAAATTGATAACAGCAAAGTAAAAATCCCCAAACACCTCACTGATGCTTACTTTAAGAAGAAGAAGCTGCGGAAACCCAGACACCAAGAGGGCAAGATCTTCGACACCAAGACAGAGATACCAGATTTCAGAGCAGCGCAAGGTGGATCAGAAAGGGGTGGACTCACAAATTTTAGCAAAAATCAAAGCTGTTCCTCAGCTCCAGACCTACGTGCGATCCATTTTTGCTCTGAAAAATGGAATTTATCCTCATAAATTAGTGTTCTAAATTTCTTACTAAAAACCCAATTAAATAACTGATACATTAAAAAAAATTCACTGTATTTTTATATCATACTTCATGCTGTTTTCTGTTAACCTGCTATGTAAAATTTTCACACATACATATAGGCCAATTACATAATTTATAATTCTTTATTACTAAAGATTTATTTACACAGTGTTTAAGGCATAATAAAAATAAATTACAATATAAAAATGTTCTTCAGAAAGAGACACTAAACAACAAAGCCATATTACCCCTTGAATATTTAGCATAAAACTGGAAGACTGCTGGAAAAACTGATTTTTCAACTACCACTTTGTTTCACTTATGGAGCTTCAAGACATCTGTTTGAAGAAATGTGTAGTTGTATTTTCAAGGGCTAAATAACAAAAAATATATACAAAATGTAGATTAAAGGTAATATAGATTTCAAATCTAGCTTTTAGTTTCAAAATGTTGTAGAGAGTTTACTTTTTAAAAGGCAGAATAGAAGATAGATATAAGATGAATTTCAGAATCAAGGTTCGTATGTAAATTATACTAATTTTAAAGAAATATATTTGATCTTAGCCAAAAGGCTGAGAAGCAATTAAATAATACTGGAAAATATAGCAGGCTCCAGTATCTTTAAATATAATCTATTTGAAAATTCTAATTTGTCAAAAATAAAATAGTATCAGCAGCTTAATCCATGAAAACTGAGAACATCAGATTATAGAGACTTATCTTTACTTAAACTTGAAGACATCTTATATCCTTTGAACAAATGCATAAGTTTGGAAAAATATCAGGTATCTAAACACTTCTGAAAAAGCTCTCTTCTTTCCATAGCCCACGACCAGCATAAGGGGGGCAAGAATAGATCATTCAGCTCGGTAGTTTTGGCATTTCTTTGCTCTGTACCAAATTCTCTCTCTCTCCCTTAAGCAAGTGAATTACAATCAAAAAACAAAGGGAAAAAAACTTTAAATAAGCTCTTCCAGTTCTCCGAACTTTGTATAATACTGTACAAAATTGTCATCATTTAGAGTTGGTCTTTTTTCATTAGACCTAAGTTTTTAAAGTTGTCAGATACTATTTTACAACCATTCTATTAAACTGCTTACTGATTCCCGTCCATAAATGAGCATAGAGTTTGCTCTGTTGTTAAAGATAACCCAGTGGAAAGGCAGAGCAGAAAGCTGTATAGTAACAGCTCATGGAAGACCTACGCTGTTATTTTTCAAAATAAAGAAAGAAGATGACAAGTGATGCATCCTGAGGCGCCACTTGCCTTCTGCATTAGTGTCTAGGTAACATTCTGCAGTTACTGTGTGATTTGGACTTGGGCTACCTTAAATCTTGGATTAATGGACAAAACAAAAACAAACAAAAAAAAAACCTATTACCTGGGATAGTGAAAAAAATTCAGTAAAATAAAATGTCCATACTTAAGGAGAGCCGTAAAAATCCCATTTGACAGTTTGTCCTTGGAATTTCTCTTAGGTCAAACAACAGTTTGGAGGCTTAACTCACCCTTCAATGAATGTGATAGTTTCTGTCTAGTTGTGCCCCCAAAGCCTTAGGCAGTCATGGGGTGGGGACTTCTAGAGTTTGTGATTAACTCATGATCCACTGGGATTATGGGTGATCCAAGGCTGGGATTATGGGTCTTAGTACTCCTGGAATTGTGGATGTGAGTACTTCCCCCAGCCTCAGAGGATAGCCTGAATGTAATATGAGAGACAGACTTCCTCTGTTGCCATTGTGGCTGCTACTCTTCCATTAACTCTTGCTTGCTCTTTACCACCACCATGAAAGGTTGCTCTCTGCCATGTGCCACTCTGCCTTGGAGACAGCCGAGTATGGACCGAAACCTCCAGTAACCATGAGCTGAATAAGTCTTTCCTTCCTTCATTTTTGGTGCCCGGTATTTTGTCCCAGCAATGAGAGAAGAGTAACTGAGACAGAATTTGGTACCAGAGAACTGGGGTCATTGCTGTGACTAAACCTGACCATGTGGATTACTTTTTGGGAATGGCTTATGGGAAGAGATAGGAAAGGTTTGGAGAAGTCATCTACTTGCAAAGAGCTGGAACCGCTTCAGCTGTTCTGTTTGGGAGATTCTTGTCAGAGCTCAGAAGACCAGAAGCCTGATAGAAAGCCTACCTATAAAGACCAGGCAGGGGATGTTTCTGCTGGGAAGAAGGACTGCATTGGTTGTTGGACTCCAGATGATTTGTGCTGTGTCTTGGCTGAAAGTCTATCTGAATTTTGCTTGTGTCCAGAGGCTTTGTCTGAGACTGAGTTTAAGCATGGCAGACTGCTTAATCTTTCAAAAGATACTTCAAAGCAGCCAAATATTGGGGCAGTAGCATGGCTGTTATTGGAGGCTTTTAGCCAGATTTATGTTGAGAATCAGGAGCAAAGAGCCCCACAGGATGATTTAAAATGTGAGTTTGGCCAGAAGGGAAGCACCAGGAATGCTGTTGACTGTAAAGACAGAGCTGAGAAGATTTCCATTGCTGGGAAGGAACCAGAGAATGGAAAGGATGGCCTGAGGGCTGAATAAACCTTTCCTTCTTTCATTTTGGGTGTCAGGTATTTTGTCCCAGCAAGGAGAGAAGAGTAACTGAGACAATGGAAGTGTGAGGAGAGAAAGTAAACGTTACCTTTAGTAGCAAGAGTGATGCTCTAAAAGAATGAATGTGTCAAGGGAAATGTCAAGACAGACAAACTGGCCTTTGTCCACTTTGTCACCAATATGTGTCTATACAAGTCTTACTCTATAGGGAGTGTATAAGGGAAAAATGTAGCCTCTTAGTTTATAAAAACTAATGAGGCTTTGAAAAATATTTGTAGTATGAAATTAAATAAAAACCTTAATAATGAGACTGTGTGTGGGTCTGCTGGCATCTGCTCAAGAGCACTAGGCTGCCTGCAGAGAGCCGTTGTTTGTCTTGGTGGGTATGTGCTGCAGAATTTGTGGAAGACAGATCACAACTGGAAACACCAAAGAATGGTTTCCATGAACCTCAAGAAATACTGTAGTTCTTGGTCTTGGAAATCTTCAGCTACCTAAAATGTAAAACAAAAATTTTAAGTCGATAATATATTTGGGAAAAATACATTAGAGCACCTTACACTACAAATTACATGGATAATAGTCTGTTCTCCATTACTGAAAGAAAATATTCTTATTCTCTCCTGAGCTTAATTTTAATAAATGAAGGTTCCTGACCCTTATTACAGGATTATCAGCTCAGCATTCTGTGTGCATAGCCTGGAAGTGCTTTCATGAACCCCTGGATGGTCCACATTTCACTCACACCCATATATTCTCTCCTGTTTCCCTCCCATCCCCCTCCCATCACTCTCCCTCATACACAAAATCAGAAATGTAGAAAAGTGGAGATGCGTATGGAATTCATCCATTATCTAATTTTAAAGAATCTTTTATATTATTTGATTTTATTCTGTTTTGTTTGATGAACTATCTAAAGCAAGTTACTGACACCTCTACGTACTCCAGTACGCTTTTGGCAGTGAGGGTGGTACCAGGGACTAAACCGAAGGCTTTCACACTGACCTGCATTCTCAGCCCCTTTTCAATTTTTTTTTGTTTGTTTGTTTTTTTGTTTTGGCAGAACCAGGGATTGAACTCAGACCCTTGTGCTTGCCAGGGAAACACTTATTGCACTGAGCCATCTCCCCAGCCCCCCCCCTTTCAATTTTGAAACAAGGTCTTATCAATTATCCAGCCTGGGCTCAAATTTAAAATCTGTCTGCCTCAGTCTCCCAGAGTGCCAGAAATTTAAGCCTACACCACCACACCTGGCTCTAGTATGTAGTTTTAAAATAGGAACATTTCCCTATGTAACCACAATAATATTATTATACCTAATAGAAACTAACAATAATTACCTAATATTATTTGTGTTCAATATTTTCATAGTGAAGGTTTTACTTATTTTTTTAAAGGTTTCTCATTTGTTTTACATTTAGATTGTTCAAACTTGTATTCATTCAGTAAGGGATCAAACATTGCACTCAATTGTGTTAATCTCTTGCATTTTTTTGGCTCTAAAACAGTACTTATTATTAGGGCCGGTGATATAGCTCAGCAGATTAAGTGTTTGCTTAGGTAAGTGCAGGGGCCAGGGTTCAATCCCTGGCACCACATGCCACGCCAGCCTTGCCCCTGGGCATGCTGAGCTGGTGATGGAGTCCGGACATGGTAGTGCATGCCTGTAATCCCAGCATTAGGGAGGCAGAAATCAGGAGGATCACTACAAGTCTGAGCTGTGTAGTGAGACCCTCCACAAAAAAAAAAAAAAAAAAAAAAAAACACTTGGGCCAGCCAGATAGCTCAATGGATTAAAGCACCTGGTTAGGCAGACGCAGGGGCTAGGGCTTCAATCCCTGGCTGGCTGTGCTACCGCTGCCCCTGGGGCACGCTGAGACAGTGAATGAGACTGGGCATGGTGGCACACACCTGTAATCCCAGCGCTTGAAAAACAGGGAGGCTGAAAAACAGGAAGGATCACTACAAGTCTGATCTGTGTAGTGAGACCCTGTAGACCCTGAACTAAATGCATTTAAGGATTTTTTCTCCGAATGCCTTTGGGGCAGGTTTGGCTGGCTTGAGTTGTGGGGATCGAACCACAGCAACCTGAGCCTGACTACTTTGTTGAAGCAGCCAATTAAAGAACTGAGCTAAGGGACAGGCCCCCTAAATGCATTTTTTTAAAAAATTTAAATAGTACACTTTTTTTCCATGACCTCAACTTGTTAGAGAATCTGCTTGATTTTTTTTTTTTTTTTAAAGTAGGAAGAGGGCTGGGGAGATAGCTCAGCGGCATAAGCGCTTGCCCGGCAAGCGCAAGTTCCCAAGTTTGATCCCCAGTACTGCATGCTGTACCAGCCTCTGAGACCAGGCATGGTGACACACACCTGTAATCCCAGCACTGGGGAGGCTGAGACAGGAGGAGCACTATGAATCCAAGATGTCTGACAAACCTGAAAACCGGACAGACAGCCAAAGTTACACATTACTAAAACTCAGTCTATAGCTTAATAACTAAGTGAGAGGAGGAATTGAAATCCATTCCAAATAGTATAAAAAATCTGCCAGCCAGGTGTGGCGCATACTCCTATAATCCTACACTAAAGAGGCTGAGGAAACAGGGTCTCTGCAAATTCAAGGCCAGCCTGGACCACATACCAAGATACTGTCTCAAAAGAGCAAACAATAAAAGCAAAGATCTAACAAATGCCAGGCATATCTATTATATCACTCTCTCAGTGCTATGACCGATTTATAATTTTTTAAAATATCACATTAATTTTTTTCATAAGAAAGGATTTATTGAACCGGGTATGTAGGTCAGCACTAGAGCTCTTGCCTAGCATGCACAAGGTCCCAGGTTCAATCCCTCATGTCACCAATCACACATACATAAACACATATATACATGCATCAGTTTCTCTCAGTTTTAATAACAATCAGATCTAGCACAAAATACACACAAAAAAGCATCCTTGGAACCAACAGAAGACTTTTATCTGCCTGATCCCAAGTAATTTCAGGTAGGAAACGCCTAATGACACATAAAATAAGGGAGACCCACTTCAGAGATGGGCCAGGCAGGTCAGAAACTGAAGAAGCAGATCAACGCCTCTTGTGGACCTTACCATCTAGCGAGGTCAGTCTATGTCTTCCACAGAAACAGAAATCTTTTTTTCTTCATTGAGCTTTTCCTCTTCACTTCTGTAACAAACAAAAACCAAACATCAGGTGAATAAGGCAAGAAGCAAAGGAAGTAAGTCTGTTCTAGAGAATTATCAGGTAAACTGTTTCCTCCCCCAAGTTTTAGAAAGAATTACTTTTACCTAGGAGTAGATACAAGCTTATGGGGGCAACCCATTACATACAGTACTTGGGTTTTGGAACTTACACATTTTTCAGAATATAAGAAACTACAACTTGGATCCAAATTGGGAACTCCAGAGGATTAAAACATGCACCTCACTTTATCACTAGTGTCCTAGCTTCTAACTCCTGCTCAAAACCAGAAAAAAAATTTTTTTAAGTTGATTAAGTGAATTTTAATAATACATTTAACTCAATTTGTCCAAAATGCATGTATCATCACTTCATAAGCACTCAATACAAGAAAATTAATGAGATTTTTTTGCTTTGGTATAAAATCATCAAAATCCAGTATGCATTTTACACTGGCAGCACATCTAATTTGGATTCTGCATTGTCACCAGAAATAGTGGATCCGCATTTAAGATTTCATGAAGTTTGTGGAGATTCACATGCTCTAGTTGTTTCAAGAATACCAAAATAAAACCAGAAAAATTTTGTGTTGGCCTCATAATTATCATTACCAATTATATTTCTCTTTTTTTGTTTGTTTTTAATTTTATTTATTTGTGTGTGTGTGTGTGTGTGTGTGTGTGTGTGGCCAGCTCAGCCCACCAGGGGGCGGGGCTGGCTGGCATGTGGTGCTGGGGGATTGAACCGTGGTCCCTGTGCTTTGCGAAGCTTGTTCTAAGTAGGTGCTTTAGACCACTGAGTCATCTCACCTGTCCCTATATTTCTCTTTAAACTAGACCTTCAAAATTGGGTTCCTTACGGGCCAGGGAGATGGCTCAGTAGAATAGATGCTTCCCTGGCAAGTGCAAGGGTATGGGTTCAATCCCCGGTTCTGCAAAAAAAAAAAAAAAAGAAAGAAAGAAAGAAAGAAAGAAAGAAAGAAAGAAAAGAATCTCCATTAAAAAAGGGGGAGGCAGGGATATAGTTCAGTGGCATAAGCACCTGCCTGGCAAGTGCAAGGTCCCGAGTTCAATCCCTGGTAGTGCAAAAAAAAAAAAAAAAAAAAAAAGAAAGAAAAAGAAAGAAAAGTGGGTTCCTTAGTCTTTTTTTTAAAAAAAATCAATTATATTCATTTCAGTAAGGATTTACTGAGGAAAAGAAATAGTGTTGGAATTACTATATATCCATATGCAAAAAAATGAATCAGAATTCCTACACCAACCATATATACAAATTAACTAAAAACAATAAAAATAACAATATAGGTATAAATCTTCATGATGTTGAATTAAGCAATAGTTTCTTAAATATAACACAAAAGCACTAGCCAATAAAAGAAATAGATAAATTAGGCTTCATCAAACTTTAAAACCTTTGTGCTTTATTTTTTATTTAATTTTTTTTATTTTTTGGTGGTACCAGAGATCAAACTCAGGACCTTGCACTTGCCACACAAGCACTTATTCCACTGAGCTATCTCCCCAGGCCCTAAAACCTTTGTGCTTTAAAGGATATCTCAAGAAAATGAGAAGAACCCACAAAATGGGAGAAAATAAATAACTGCAAGTCGTATATAGTCCTGATGCAGACTAGCATCCAAAATAAGTGAAGAACTCTTAGAACTAAACATTTAAAAGACAAGTAACCAATCCAATTTTAGGGTGGGCAGACGATCTGAACAGATTTCCATCCAGATAAATATACAAATGGCCACTAAGCTGGGCATGGTGCCCCACGCCTGTAATCCCAGCACTCTGGAGGCTGAGGTAGGAGGATCTCTGAGTTGAGACCAGCCTGGGCTACAAAGCGAGCTCAAGGCCAGCCTGAGCTGCATAGCAAGCCCCTGTCTCAAAAAACAAAACACAGTTGAAAAGATTCAGATCAAAATATAGTGAAATACCTCTTCATGTCCACTAGATGGCTGCAATCAAAAAGACAATATAAAGCACTGGTGAGAGTGTGGAAAAGAACCTCCGTGTACTGCTGATGTGTAAAAGGCAGCTGTTTCAGGAAGCCGACTGACAGGTGCTCCAAAAATTAAACAGAGCTACCATATAATTCAGTAGTTCCACTAACTTGTAGGAGAATTAAAACATGTTTATACAAAATCTTGCAGGTGAATGTTCATAGCAGATTAGCCATAATGGCCAAAAAATATTTAAAAACCTAAATGCCCATCAGTTGATGAATGTATAAACAGCATATAGTGAGCCCACAGTGGAATATTATACATCCATAAAAAGGAATGTAACATTAATATGTGCTGCTACAATACTGATGAACTTTGACGTGATACTAATGAAAAAAGAAGCTGAATATAAAAGGCCACATAGTTTATTACTCCATTTATAGGAAATTTCCAGTACAACCAAACCCTCATAGATAGCACATGGATGAATAGATGTCAAGGGATAATAGAAGAGACAGAAGAATGTTGGCTAAAGGAAGAGCAAGTGATTTCCTTAGGGGTGGGCGTCAAAATGTTCCTGGAAACTGGGAATATTAAAAGGGTGAGTTTTATGGTATACACAGTTTATGTCAATTTTAAAATGTACTTTTTGGGCAGGGGAGATGGCTCAGTGGAACAAGCACTTCCCTGGCAAGCACAGGGGCCTGAGTTCAATCCCCAGTTCCGAAAAAAGAAAAAAAAAAAAAAAAACTTTTTGAGTACCTGTGATCAGCATAACAGACTAATACACTGAGTCACAGTGACCCTGCTGCCAGCCCAGCCTAATTGTTCTTACGGATGTGTTTCAGCCAGGTATGGTGCCACTCACCTATAGTCTCAGCACTCTGGGAAGCTGAGGCAGGAGGATCACAAATTCCAGCCCTAACTGGGAATGGTGGTGGATACTTGTAATCCTAGCACCTGGAAGGCTGAAGCAGGAGAATTGCTGCAAGTTTGAGACCAGCCTGGGCTACACAGAATGACCTTGTCTCAAAAAAACAAACACCAACCCAGGCTGGGTAGCTTAGCAATTTAGCAAGACCCTGTCTCAAAATAAAATAAATAAAATAAAATGGGCTGGAGATGTAATGGCAGAGCACTTGCCTTATATGCCTTGGTACTTAAAAATAATAATCAGGGATATTTTATTTATTTTTTTAAATATGTGCCAAATTTCTTTTTTTTTTTAATTTGTGTGTGTGTGTGTGTGTGTGTGTGTGTGTGTGTGTGGCCAGCTCAGCCCACCAGGGGGCGGGGCTGGCTGGCATGTGGTGCTGGGGGATTGAACCACGGTCCCTGTGCTTTGCTAAGCTTGTTCTAAGTAGGTGCTTTAGACCACTGAGCCATCTCACCAACCCCCAGGGATATTTTAGAAAAGCTTTACATAGCAGATTTTAATAGCATCAAACCCCACATCATTAAGAAATCCTATGATGAAATCTGTAAAATTAAGAAACCTCTTGTAAAGTTACTTTCCACACCCTAATTCATCTATCCAGTGAATCACAATTCTTTTACATAGGATTTACTCAGAGGGAAACAACTGTGCTCAACAATTATTTAGCCCCATTGCAAAATACCACGAATCACCAGAAGAAAGAGTTAAGAGGAGTGTTTCCCGTAACCGCCCAGCCTTACGGTTTTATCTCCACCACTCTGTGAGCTCTTTCAGCCCAGCGCTTCTTCCGGAAATGCTGGACGATGACCACCACGACTACGATGATGACCATCAAGGCACAGGCAGAGCCAATGGCCAGAGCCAAGAAGTAGATCTCAGAGAACTGCACTAGAAGGAGAAAAAGATCAAGTGGTCAAGTTGGGGTTCTAGAAGGAGAAAAACATGGTGAAACCTAAAGCCATCATAGGCTTGCATTTCATTATTAAATGAAATCTTCTTTCCTCTGACTTCTGTGTGTCAAATACCGTGTCACCTTGTGTACCCCAGTAGGAGCAGGAAGGCCACACAGACTGCATGAGTGATTCTAACAGGAGTAGCAACACACCAGTACTTGAGAACTCTGAAATCAACGCCAAATTAGACACACTGAGGCACTATGTGGACAATCTGTGTTTTGTTTCAACATGTCCTGCAGGTGATCATGCTGCCCGCTAAAGTTTGGAGAACTACTGAGTCATGTGAACTGCCCAGCGTGTGACACTATGCCAACCTGATCAGACCCAGTGCCCAGCCCAATTCTCCTGACTGCATCTCACCTCTGTCGCTCATTCAGTCATTTATTCAGCTTCCCAGGCACTGTGGACATAAGGAAAAGCCAAAACCAACACAGCTATAAAGGAGCTCGTGCCCTCCAGGAAGACAGGCAAGTATATTAGGAGCTAATATAGTGGATAAATGGCAAAGGAGGGAACCCAGAGAGGAGCCCCTAACAGACTGCAGCCTATGAAGCCTAGTTCTCCTGTCCTTTGGCTTGATTTCTCAGTTAAACTTCAATAAGCCCTCAGAACCATAAAGGACCTTAGAGAAGATCTAGCCCAGTAGTTTCCAGCTTAGAATCTCTCAAGAATGATGTAGAAGGGAAGAGAGAGGTTTGACCCACAAACATATTCATATCTTTTTTTTTAATGTATTTAGTATAGGGTCTCACTACACAGATCGGACTCATAGTGATCCTGCTGTTTTCAGCCTCCCAAGTGCTGGGATTACAGGTGCGTGCCACCACGCCCCGTCTCAGTCACTATCTCAGTGCGCCCCGAGGATGGGGCATATCTTGTTGTATGTGTCTCTGTGGTGGGTGTGTGTGTGTGTGTGTGTGTGTGTGTGTGTGTGTGTGTGACAGAGCTATGGCTTTAATTACACTCTCCAACAGTAGTAGTTTCTAGGCAAACGCTTATTCTACTGAGCCATTTCCCCAGCCCTAAGAGTAGTAGTTTCTGATATGTTTCTAACCTCACTGATTTCTTGTCTAACTGAAGAAACTAAGATTTGGGGGTACTGTATTACTTCTCTCAGTGCTCGGATGACTTCTCCGGGTCACTCAACTCTCTGTTGGTAGAGCACTGGAGGCCTGTTTTAAACTCTACTAAGGATGAAAGGAGGAGGTCATACCACTTTATATGCTGCTGATACATTTGGGGTGGTAATACTGTGTTGGTTAAGAGCTCATACCATAGAAAGCTAAGTTAAAATGCTATCTGTACTATTTACTAACTGTGTGATTTAGGGTAATTAACATTTCCAAGCCTCAGTTTCCTCCATGGATAGCAATAATAATATTTTCTGAGTTCCTATAAAAACAATTCATGTAAACTGTTCTGTACAGTGCCTACCCCTAATAAGCACTCAATATAGGAATGTTATAATTGTTAGCATAGTTCAGAGTTTGGGAAATTTTCACATATCTCAGTTTGTCCTTGAACATTTAAGAATAATTGCTAAGTGGTAGCCAAGACTTAAACCCAGATATATGACTGCTAAGTGTTGTGGTGTTTGTCCTTTGTTCCCTAGAATCATCTGCTAGACTGTCCTTTACAGAGAGGCAGGCAATAAAATACACAAGTTTGGGGCACAGTTTTGGAGTCAAAGATGACTGGGTTTGAGTCCAAAGTTATCCACTTACCAGCTTCATGGCTGTGAGCAAGTGGCTTTGCCTCTGCAAGCACAGTGAGCTGATGAGGGCCTTAAAGAGCAGAGAAAGGGCGCCCTGTGACGTCTCTGACATGTGGGAAGTGCCCAGCAAATGTTAGCTGCCGCAGCTGCCCTCTGCCTCCTCGCTGTAGGTTCAGAAGAGGTAGACGGGACAAGCCTTTGGCCAGTCAGTGCCTGGCGCAGGGAGGTACTCACTTACTCAGTAAGTATCTCAAATAAGTAAGAGAAAGAACGGACCTGTTGTTAGCCTTTTATCAGAGTTGCTTCCTCTCCCTTTCACTATCTCAAAGCCATTGTTTGTAACAGATTCCCTGGGTCCCTTTGCTTTGCTTTCTGTTTCTTTCCACAACCAGAAAAGGCCTTTTTCTTTTTACCCAAGGACTCCTCAGTCTCTCTCTGAAGTCCTCAGCTCAGGAATCGCCCCTCTTCTACCAGCTCTCACACTTCCCATACCCATCCCCCCCCCCCAGAACCTACCAGTTTGCACAACGCTGAGCCGGATCGCCCCTATCAGCCCATCCACATCGGGTGGGTTTTTCACCTGACAGGTGTATGTCCCATTGTCATCAAACTGCAGCTTCCATAGCATAATGGAGACATCATAGCGGTCAAGGTTCCCATCCCAGCCCACTCGGTCTTTGAACCGCCCACTCATGGGTTTGAAGGGATCCACGTGGTAGTAGAATACCTACAGAGGAGAAATGGCAGTGTTCTCACTGGATGCCCAGGCAAGGAGGCGGGGGCGATGAGCGCGGAGAGAGACAGCAGCGAAGCTAAGTATCCAGTCTGCAGCTTTTCTGTCTCTTGTTTGTCCTTCACTAGCCTCTCATCCCATCAGTCTCTGTCCCAGAAATGATTTCCCAACTTAACACTGAGCTTAAGAAAAATGCAGGAGCCGGGGAGATAGCTCAGTAGAATAAGCGCATGCCTGGCAAGCACATTGTCCTGAGTTCAATCCCCAGTACTGCAAAAAAAAAGAAAGAAAGAAAGAAAGAAAGAAAGAAAGAAAGAAAGAAAGAAAGAAAGAAAGAAAGGAAAAGAAAAATGCAGCAAAGGCAAGGAGAAGTGCATGGGCTTCATATGTTCCCAGCCAAGGTCCCCCCTGCTAGAAAATGACAATAATCAACTTACGAACTGTTCAGGGCCCCCATCTTGAGGACGGAAATTCCAAGTCACTGTTAGCGCATCGCCCACAGGGGCAAAGCTGGAAAAAGTGCATTTTAGCCGAACGTCTGTCCCATTAACAGCCTCCAGCGCCCCAGAGGTGTAAATTTCCACAGCTGCTGCTATGGGCCAGAGAGCTGCCAAGAAGGGAAGGAAGCAGAACAGTGAGCAGAGGCCTACTATGGAGAGAATGGCTGATGTTTTCAAAACAATGTATGTGTAGGAAATAAGGCAGGGCCAGAAGCACAGCCCTGCAGCCCATCTCCCCACAGCAGGGGGGGGGGGACGACACGGGGACACGGGGACTCCTTCCCCATCAGCTTCTTGACCCCCTGTCTCCTGTGGTGACTGATAATGCCACATAGCAAACTTTTCCAGTGCTCTTCCTTTCTCCACAGCTTCATGGTACCAACTTTAAAAATGCAATAGCTGGGCATGGTGGCCCACACTCCAGCACTCCAGAGGCTGAGGCCAGGAGAGTTCAAGGCCAGCCTGGGCTACATAGGGAAAACCTGTCTTAAAAAAAAGAAAAGAAAAAGAAAAACTCCAAATATTGTCAAATTAAATTGAGAGGAGAAAGGCAGACTCAAAGCCAATCATAAAATTGATTAGCATTATGCATTTCAGGTAGAATGTTCTCCTAGCAGGTCGGTTTTCCAGAAAAGATCCTTGGAAGGCGCATTTCGCACTGTTCCTAGTCCTCTACCCTGTAATTGGGTTAATCAATTCCAGACAACTTGCGCTGGCCCGAACTCCTGGAACCTCTACACCACGTGGCACAGTTTACCGTTTCTACACTTCCTTCGTATTTGGAAGGTGTGTATGTGTTGGGGCATTTTCAAAACCACGGTGGCTCTCTCTAATAATCCCAGCCTTCCCGGTGCTGGGAAGAGTCCCAGGCAAGACTCACACCCCGAAAACCAAGGGCCAAGTCCGGTTAAGCAGTGAGGATTGACAGCAGCCGCACAAAAGTGGAGTGTAACCCGAGATCAGAATGCCTCTCCGTGCTCGAATCCCGGCGGAGCACACCTAAGCCTGTTTGTCCACAGCAGTACCCCCACCCCCAACAACCCAGTAACTGCAGTTTTAGTAAGGTCTCAACTGAAGTAACCCGCAGTTGGGGCTCAGGGTCCCACCCAAGACTCGAGCGTCTCTGGCCGCGCAGCCGACGGAGGAGCCCCTGCTCTTACCTGGGAGCTGCGAGGCGAGCAGCAGCAGCGCGTGTGGAAGGCTCCGGCCATACATGAGGGAAACGCAGCCCTGGCCCCGGAGACCAGACCCGGCAGGTGCGGGGCTCCAGCACCCCGCCACGGCCAGTGCGGAGGCGCAGCGCCCTGCTCGCCCCGTCCTCACCTATGGGAGCCGCAGCGCCGGGCGAGGCAGGCGAGGCAGCCGTGACTCATCCGGCCCGGCCGGCCCAGCCGCGCGCAGGAATGAAAGGTGGGGCCTCGGCTGCACCCGGAGCGCTCCCTCCTCCCTCCGCGCGGCTCCCTGGAGCTGCTCTGCCAAAGGTCCCAACCGCCTCGCTCCGCTCCTCAGTTCGCCTGACGGAGGAGCCCTGGCCTCTGGATGCCCGCGGAAGCAGCCCGAGGAGGTGGTGCCGGGCTGCAGCGTCCCAGGCTGCTTTGGCTTTGGCCAGACCTCGGGCCGGCCTGGGAGGTGACCGCCGAAGCCACCTTGCCGAGATTCCACATCAAAACACACAGCCCGGGGGCCGCAAGAACTCACTCCAGCAGCCCTCCCTCCACCCCAGGCTCCCACTCCCATAGGACCTGATACCCTAAGTGTTAACCAAATGTTGCCGCGAGGACTTTCTGCACCTTTCCCTGAGACCTAGCTGAAATAAACTCCCAAACCAAATCCCAGGGTCTGGCGATCCACTCCCTTTGACAAATTTATAGAAGCGTCAGAACAACCCCCTTGCTCGCCTGTCACCCTCTGGGGACAGTTTGGAAAGTGCCTCCCTGCTTGTGCAATCTTGTCCAAAGCCCCGTTATTGACCGCGAGTGCCCAGCGGAACTAAATGATTTGCCCACGGCTGCACAGCCAATAGGTGGCAAAAGGAACCTTTCTGACTCTCAGGTGCTGTGTGCCTTGGGCAGATTGTCAGTTGATGCGATTCGTGGAGAGGACCCTCTCCAGGACGGTGTTAGCGCCTGCTTTGTGCCTCAGATTTCAGCTGCCAATCTAGGTCAGCCATCTGTCAGAGAAGTCCGAAGAGCTGAGACATTTAAGTAAGAGGAAAGGGCTTCCCTTCTGGAAAGAGGCACAGACTGCTGAAGTAGCCTTGAGAGACGGTGGGAGGGGAACCAGACACCAGCGAGGAAGTAGGTAGGATCGGAGGGAAGCCACCAAAAGCCTTGCCCTAATCCCTACTTAGCAGTCCCTGAACTCTTAGTGATTCATAGTCTCCTAGCTGAACCCTGCAACAGAGAAGAGAGGGAGCAATAGGAGGCTGAGTTTAAAAAAACATTAGACTGGGTGTGTGGCTCAGTAGGAGAGTGCTTGCCTCACACGCTCCAGGCCCTGGATTCCACCCAACACTGCAAAACAGAGGAAGAAAGAAAGAAAAGGAAACATCGAAAAAAGAGAAGCTGGGTAGTGTGGTGCATGTCTATAATCCCAGACATGGGGAGGCTGAGGCAGGTGGATCATAATTCGAGTCCAGCCTAGGCAATTTAGCAAGATCTTGTCTCAAAATAAAAAATAAAAAGGACCCTGGGTATGTCGCTAAGTGTCAAGGTTCTGGCTTTAATCCCCAGTATGGCAAAAACAAAACAGAAAAGGAAATAATTCCACCAAAAGAGAGACAAATTAAATTATAGAAGTTTTCTGGGTTTTTTTTTTTTTTCTTTTTTTAGAGAAAGAAAGAAAGACCCAGTAGAAAGATGATGTGTCTACTTTGGCTCCAGGCGAGAGCCAAAGTAGACAGAGCAAAAATGTGTTCTGTGAGAACTGAGGAGCCCGGTTGCTTCCCTGAGGGAGACCTTCCATGTGCTAGTAAGAGCATGTTATTGTGAAGGTATTTCTAGAAAAAAAAAGAAAGAAAGAAAGAAAGAAAGAAAGAAAGAAAGAAAGAAAGAAAGAAAGAAATCTAGTTCCTTTGTCAGCTTCTAGGTCATTCTGAGCAACCTAAACTCAGAATGCTGGGGTGTTGGGAACCTTCAAGGTACTGAGCAGTAAGATACAGCCTTTCTGGTATGTGAGTGGAAGAGGTCGGTTCCAAGAGCCTGACAGGAAAAGGGTTAAATGCAACTTGATCTGTTTGACTGGCTTTCAACTTTGCAAGGAAATGCAACCCTAGAGCAAGGAGACTACAGCCTAGGGTTTTGAAGTCTGCAGCAAATTGCAAAGTTTGGGGAGAGGTAGAGTTACCAAAGAGCTCAGGGACAAGGTTATCCACAGCAAGAGAGGGGTTAGGGCTGGAAGAGCTGAACAGACTGCCTGTTGTGGGGGCAGAAGAATCCCAGTAGCCAGCCTCTCTGAGAGCTGGCAGCCAGCCCAGCTAGGAGAGGCATAGCTGCCCATATCCCATTCCTCAGAGAGGTCAAGTTCCTGGCTGTGTGTTCAGCAACACCCAGTTCCTTCCAGTGAGCAGGAGAGGCTCCGAGTCACCTGTTCCCCTCCCTGGGCGAGGAAGGAGGCCAAGGGCTGAACTGGTTACAAGAGAAGGCTAAATAAAAGGGACAATTGTCCCTCTAGTTCCCCAAGGCCAAGCAGCAGGACTTTGATCACAAGTGGGAGGCAGCAGCTGGTGAGACAATGAAGTGGTTGAGTATTTGCCTAGTGTGCCCAAAGCCCTGGGTTCAATCCCCAGCACTACACAAAACAAAACAAAATTGGAGGTACCTACACACAGCCTAAGGAGTACTTGGTGTCCAGCAAATGCGAGAAGCACAGCCAGGGATATGGCTCAGCAGCACAGTGCCTGCCTGGCAAGTACAAAGTCCTGGTACCATTCCTGGTACCAAATAAAAGAGAAGTAACAGAAAGGTGAGAGGGTGGACACACATGGGCAGGGCCCTCACTGGTCATCTGAGGAGTGAGGACTTGGTCCTAACAAATATCCCAGTCGGGGGTGGCTAACACATGAGTGAGGGCTCACCAGCGAGGCAGTGTGCCCCTTCCCCCACACCTTCCCTGTGCAGCACTGCCTCTCCCTTACCCTGTGTAATGTCCTTTATAATAAACATGGGAGTGAGTGCCCACGCACATGTGTGGGTCCCAAGAAGTAGCTCCTTAGAGTACAATTACTTTGCTATATCCCAGAACCATTAAAAAGAAAAATAGGGCCAGCCAGATAGCTCAGTGGACTAAAGCACCTGCTTAGGCAGAGCACAGTGGTCGGGGTTCCATCTCTCATGCCATGCTGGCCCCGCTCCCAGGACATGCTGAGATGGCGACTGAGACTGGGCGTGGTGGCGCACACCTGTAATCCAGGCACTTGGGAGGTTGAAAACGGGAGGATCACTAGGAGTCTGATCTACATAGTGAGACCCTGTAGACTCTGCAGACCTTGTACTAAGTGCATAAAAAAGAAAGGAGGAGAAGGACAAGGGTACCTTGAGACATCAAAACCACCACTACCTTTCTGGCTTTCTCATGCACCCCTTCCAAGGCGCTACAATGAAAACTGCAGCTTTAGTGCCCGTTTCAGGGGACTCGGAGACTTCCAGCCTTCCGTAACTGCTCCGACCAGAAGCATCCTTTCCTAAACTCTGCTTCAGAAAGCTTGTTAAAGATGGGAGAGGAAGTGAGGAAGGCACAGCCTGGTTCAGAGCTGGGCTAACGGCCCGAAAGAACCAATGCATTCCCTCTGGTGCTCCTTGTGCCTCGGTTTCCGACATACATTGCAAAGCAGACCTGGCTCTGAGACTGGGCTCCAGGGATTCAGAGAAACCGTGGGAGGAACACTGTCCTGCCTCCTCACCTCAGGGCACTCCCACCCACCTCTCTGGCAAAGCCTCTGCTCCGGCTCCTCTCTTAATTACAGAGAAGAGCAATCAGGCCCTTGTTAAGCAGCCCAAAGAAGAGACACTGAGATTTAACCCTTCACTTACTCCCCAGGGAAGCTACAGAGATATATTGGCCGGACAGAGGGAGCATCTTTGAAGATCACTTTGAAGAATCTCCCAGAGGATAAAGGGATCTTTTTATGAAAAAACAGAGCAAAAAATTTTAACCAGATAAGAGAATAACAATAATTATTACACTGTGTATCATCATCAAAGTAGTTATTCAGAGTACAAAACATAAACCAAAAAGATTCTTACAAAAAAAAAACCCCATAATAACACAAAACTTTATTTTCAACAAAGAGGGGGGCACTGGGTGTGGTGGTACATGCCTGTAATTCCAGCACTCTGGAAGCCAGTGGTGATGAGTTCAAGGTCAGGCCTGGGCTACATAGTGAACTCAAAACCCAGTCTTCTGCTGGCCAGATAAGCCCAGCCAGGCACAGGGACTGGGCTTTGGTCCCCAGCATGCCATGCAGGCCTTGCCCCCAGGACAAGCTGAGTCCATGGTGATTGAGACTGAGTGTGGTGGTATGCATCTATAATCCCAGTACTTGGGAGGCTGACAACAGGAAAATCACTACAAGTCTGATCTGTGTAGTGAGACACTGTAGACCCTGTACTAAATAAATAATAATAATAATTTTTAAAAAGTCAGCCTGAATTACATAGTGAGACCCTATCTCAAAAATAAATAAATAAACAAACAAATTAACTAACCAAGAGGGATCTTGATAGATATACTTGTCTACCTTCATGAAAACCACACATACTCCTTTTTAATGAGAGTATGGGAGACAACCCGGGCCGCCGGATCCTGAATCGACCCAGAGCGCAGGCCCAGCATGTGAGTGAGACCGCCCAGGGCCCACCGGATCCTCATTTGACCCAGAGCGCAGGCCTACCCTGTGAGTGAGAGGACCCGGGGTGCCGCCGGATGCTTGTTCAACCCAGAACGCAGGCCCAGCATGAAACCTGCATCAGAACTCCCTACAAAGAGGCTAGAGGCAAGACCCACTCAGCTGTTTCAGGAACAGAACATCTTGCCAGAGTGGAACAGAGGGTTCAACTCCAAGGGCACCTACAGGAAGAAGTGGAGCACAACAGGCAGACCCAAGCCACACCCACCTGGAGGAGTCTGAACTTGGTAGATCCGGACCTGGTCAAAGGTCAGAAGACAGTGTTGTAGAAAATGACAAAGAGAAGGAACAAAATGCAGTCTCAGGCCCTGAGCCCACGCAGAGCAAATGCAGAAGACACTAGAGTAAAAGAAATTGGAAATCACACACCTGAAATCTCTGAAATAATAGCGTGTGAAGTAAAGAAACAACTGCAGAAAGGTATAGACGAAATCAGATCAGAAATAATTTCTGAAGTAAAAAAAGAAATGATAACTGTAATGAAAGAAGTACTAAGTGCTTCTAAAGAGG